TTCTCCAGCTGAACAGAAACAAAACTGAAGTTATTATCTTTGGACCTAAAGAGGAGCGAACTAGAGTTAATGCACAGCTTCAGTTATTACAACTGAAAACCAGCGATCAGGCCCGAAACCTGGGAGTAGTGATGGACTCTGACCTGAACCTTCAGAGCCACATTAAGACAGTCACAAAGTCGGCCTTCTATCACCTGAAGAACATCTCCAGGATTAGAGGACTAATGTCTCAGCGTGATCTAGAGAAACTCATCCATGCGTTTATCTTTAGCTGTATTGATTACTGCAACAGCGTCTTCACAGGTCTGACTAACAAATCAAACAGCTGCAGCTGATCCCGAACGCTGCTGCTGCTGTTCTCACTAAAACCAGGAAGATAGAGCACATAACACCAGTTTTAAGGTCCCTTCACTGGCTCCCTGTAGCTCAGAGAATAGACTTTAAAATACTGTTGTTAGTTTATAAATCACTGAACGGCTTAGCACCACAATACCTTAAAGATCTGTTATTGCTGTACCAACAGTCTAGCCCCCTCAGATCTTCTGGTTCTGGTCTGCTCTGCATCCCCAGAACCAGAACCAAACGAATTATGCACCACAAATTTGGAACAAACTTCCAGAAAACTGTAAAACAACTGAAACACTGGGTGCCTTTAAATGAACTAAAAACCCACCTGTTTAGAGTTGATTATGGCTAAATTGTGGGTCTTGATGTTTTTATCTTTACTTTTCATCTAGTTATTAACTTCTTTTTATTTCTCTGTTTCACGGTCTAATGTTTTTAACTTTTTTTTTAAATCTTTTTCAAAATGTCTTTCTTTCTCACTGTTTAATCAATGTCACATGCTGTTTTTATTTTAATTATGTAAAGCACTTTGAAATGCCTTGCTGCTGAAATGTGCTATACAAATAAAATTTGATTGATCGATACTCTGCTAATGCTGAAAAAAAAACACAATTTAGCAATTACAATGTTACTATTAAATAAGAAGTGCAATTAAAATCACATTCTTTTTTTTTTTTCCTGACCCAGCTAACATGCTGTTTACACTCCAGTCCAGTAGGTGGCAACAATGTGTCATTAAGTTGGAAGTCAGTCAACAGCTGCCCAATCCAGCTATCTGAATAGAAGATGAGTAAAACTTTGTCAATATTCCACTAATGTCTTAAAAAAAAAAAAAAAAAAAAAAAAAAAATTTTGTAGTTGCAGTGTTTTCATTAATTAAGTTTGTTCATGCGACAAGTCATTAAAAACATCATCCTCCTTCCACTTCCTATCATTTTCTTCGTCGTTTTCGCCGGTTTGAAAAAAAAAAACATGATCCGAAAAAATGTGTTTCCACTGCAGTTTTTACAGCAGGAAAACCATCTCATCCTGGGGCAAAATCTTATTTATCTAAAAACGTGGGTATTTTCCAAACAGCCATTTCTCCACTGAGCAAATTTATTTTCGTAAATCCAATTTGCGCAATTTTATGGCTTGTGGAAACCCAGATACTATCCTCCATTACGACTGGCATTTTCATAAACTCACCGTCCCTCTGTCTCTAGTAAATTGTATATAAAATATCATGACGATCATCAGCATAAAGAGAGAAAATGCAGACAAAACATATTAGTAATAAGTTAAAGGTGATAAACGCTTTAACATCACCACAGTTCATTGAGGTATTCAGAGTTAGAACACGCTGCCCTAAAGCAACCAACATTCTGCTGCTATTTTTAGCAAGGAGAAAACTGATGCATGTGCAGCAACTTAGCTAAGCGAGAAGGCAACTCTCCTGCTCCACTATTATTAGAACCGTTGCTCGCTGTGAAGGGCCCCTGGGGGCCCAGGAGCTGGCACGTGGATTTCTACCTTCCCATCCCATGGATGGGAAAAGAAACAGGGTTTTTTTAAACACAAAGAAGAGAGATAACTGACTGAAACACAAAATAACCTAAATAAACTACAGATGCACCCTAACCATTGCTCAGAGATAGCAACCGTCTTATTTTCTCAATGATCTGAAGCATCACACACAGAATAAAGGGCATGCATTTGGTGACAAATGTTTGTTTCGGCTGTTACAGAATAGACCTGGACTTGGGAAGAAGGACTTATGGACAACTTTATCCTCTCTATGCCAAATATTCTACAGTCAAGTCTGAGACCATCTGATAAGTTTTATGATCCCATTTTAGTCAAACTTCAGCTGTCAGACAAATATGCCACACAGCATAAGTGACATCACACTCTTCAGAAAGCGGCCAACTCCGCTAAGACAAACGTCAAAATAACTATTACAAGACTTGAAAAAAAAAAAAAAAAAAAGCTAACAGCTGGTCGCCTAAAATCACTTTAATTTAGTTGATTTCACTGTAAAAAATGATCACAGGGCACTGCACAGTCAGCTGGACAAACAGACAAGGCTGCAAACCAAACTGGTCATTTTGTCATAAACCTCTTGATGAGGAAAGAAGACGGTGGTGGACAGCAGCCGCCAATCGTCAGTGTACGTTTTACAAGCCAAGAAGGTCAATGTTCATTTACGTCATGCATAAGTTTAATTAGAAAGATGCAATCAAATATTGTATTATGGAGAAGGTGCATTTCTAATTACTGACAAACATGGAGAAAATGCCCCATCGCCATGTAGCCTACCATGCATGACAAGAACTGGTAAACATCTAGACTTTAATACGGGTTTGGGTCTGCTCTGGTGTAATGGGATCACCCTTTATGACATAGTGGTATAAACCATGTGACGTGAAGTCAGGCAAAGTCAACATTTTAATCATACCAAACACGTCAGGAGGGGGAGGTTTGGGGCGGTTTCTAAGCTAGTTGTTTCTAAGTTTTGCAAATATCCCCATCTATGAGCCCCAACTAGATGTGCTACTTCCACAGACAAATTAGCTGGACATGAACAAGAAGGAACCATGGCTATACTGGCATAAATAACTTTGGAAAACAATCACAGCCGTGGCGTTTAATGCTCACATCCCCACTTCCGACGTCCATCATAGCGTCTCGAGGTGACGTAGTTGCAAAAGGTCAATAGAAGAATGGCTGAAACTAGACGTGTCTCAATGGCGTCAGAGTCGAGACCTGATGCAAAACTCAATTATCTGAAGTTAACACAGTCAGATGTTGAAGAGTTATTTCACCTAAAAGTGGCAAATGAATAATGCACGACTCAACAGCCAATACAAAACTGCATTCACACACAGTTTTCCCTTTCTTGCTTTGCTTTCATAAACAACAACAGTGTGGAATCTATTGTACATTTTGAGGCAAATTTTTAACTTAAGAACCGGGTGGTTATCAGATAGCATAAAACTATGACCAACCACTGACGCAAAAAGATTAAAACTTGATGTAAGTGGATCATTTCCTTAGAACCGACATCTGCAAACAAATAGAACTCATATGTTAAAACTCACGTCTTCGTTGGCTCACTCATGCACTGCTCAGAGTTCTCCTTAACCTCACAGCTGTCCAAATCGTGAGAGGCTGATTTACGGTTGCGGAGGATTGAAGTAAAACCACATATCCGACTTGGCCGTCCTCATCATAAATGACTTCCACTTGGCTTGGTTCATTCACCATTTTCCTCCCACACAGGAGGTAATTGCAGGGAACAAGTTACAATTAGATGTAGGGCAACACACTGCTCCTAAGTGAACAAACCGACATGACTGTAAATGTCAGGTTCGGATCCAAGACCTGAATAAAAAGAGCGACTAATCTCTGATCACTTTTGAGCCCATGAAGACGGAGAGATGATGTGGAATTGCTGCTGGCATATCCATTTCACATATAGTGCTATGGAAGCATGAAACAACTTGGCTTTTTACTGAATAGTCAGTATTATTAAAAATACTCTAACTGGTCTCATATTTATGAGAAAATAGTTGCAATAAAATAGGTATTTTAAACTTAGAGAAATATGATCTTTGATACAATGGTCTTTAACTGAATCCCCACATACAACTGCTGTCGGAAGAAGACTTCTATAAAAAAAATAAAATGAAACCCTTTGATATGTGCATCTATACAGCTATTAAAATAAAATTAGGATTGCACCAATATGGGATACTGCGGTGGAGATGCGATGTGGCCGTCACAGGTTCAAGTCCAGCCCTGATGACCTTTCCTGCATGTCTTCTCTCTCTCATTACCCACTTTCCTGTCTGAACACTCTCAAATAAAGGCCACTAGAGCTAAGAAAACCTTTAAAAAATGTGAATATATGAATATTTGTGGCGATAACATTATCCGTTATTAATATTGATGTTATGGCCAATAACCAATATAAACCAATGCCATATATTCTAAAATGACCATGTTGCTGACATTGCTTCTCTGTTTTCAGTTGTTGCAATCATTGTTCCATACAATAAATCTGAAACTATTTCCGTGGATCGGGACTCGGCAGCCATGACAGATCTTCTGAACTTGAATAAACTTTAGACCCGGACTGGATGGAACCTCTTACCTACAACTTCCACTAAACCAAGCAGCCAGTTCTTCTAAGAAACTGCAGCGTTTACACTAATACTTGTTCAACCTGAACATTCTGACTAAACCACATCCTCCTCATGTTTCCAAGCTTTATCCGGGATCAACATTTGTAGAGTAAGCGGATAAGACCGATTCACATCCAGAGTTTTAGAGCTGGCAGAACTGTGAGAAACTGCTTTCTGCAAAGTCAGGACACACTGACCGGCTGCCTTTGAATGGTCTCCATTATGGAGCGATCGCTTTAGACGTGTAGACAAAACGTGCATCGTTCTGTGTGAATTAAAACAAGTCACACTGACATAAGACATACACCATTACTTTACACTAGCCTGCACTGCCACCTAGTGGCAGAATTGGCATGCCCTGCCTTACTATGTTACAATTTGAGGCACTTCATAGAGTTGGCAGAGAAAGAAGCAACAAGTAGAACAGAGGCAGTGACGATTTTGTGTTTTGCTGTAATTGTGCAGATTTCTTCTTGCTGGTCGCCTTACCTTGTTGTCATGGTGATATCGGCTGACCTCTACGACCTCAGGATCGTAGGACAACGTGTTTGTCACGACTGGATTGATCTGCATACAAAAAAAGAATCGGTATGACAGGGCCGCACATGGAAAACCAACAGCCTGGAATGAAATCGCATGTTTTTCTTCCAATTTAAAACAGAAACAATTCATTGGGTTTTGATTCTGGGAGGTGAAGCAGGCGATACCTGAATGCCCGTGGGATGTGAGCGGTGGAGGTGGGCGTGGGGCGTCCCGGGGTGGATGTCAGACAGGTGGGGCAGAGGATCGGGGGTGGACCTCCAGCTGTGTTGTAGCAGAACATCCCGGTAACGTTTACGGTCAAAATTGGTCTTCCACAGCAGAACCTGAGGAGGGAAACCCAATGCATGAAACCCCAAGTTTAAAACGTTTAGAGACAGTCTAACAGCTGTTTTGTGTGTGTGTGTATTATTGTATAACAGACAGCGATTACATTAAACTCAAAGCACAAACCTGTTGCCATCGTTTTGCCAGCAACATCAATGTTGTTGTTTGACAAATTTATTTATTTTTCAGGTAGTTTTAAGAATACTCTGTTAACATCAGAACAGATGCAGCTGCAATCACTGTAGTTTGAAGAAAGTCTTGCAACAGAGAGACAGATGTGAAAGAAATTATTGTCCCTCCCATGTTAGCAACAGTTTCTACATAAGAAAAATGTTCTGTCTTTATGGCTTTCCATCAAACTAATGTCACTTGCAAGAAATCACTACCAAAGATTGCAAATAAATTATCCAGAAGATCCAGCCAGAGCTACAATAAAATGGTTTACATCTGTAAGAGTGTTCATATGTCAGAATAGCCTAGTCAAAGCACAGAATCAAATCAAGAATTCACTTTCTGTCTCCTGAAATCCTGTTAAAAGACATTAAGGTTTGTAGTTAGAAAGTAGGAAAAAAATGTGGAAAATTGAGAAGTTAAAAATTCAACTGCAAGACAATATTCTATTTTATAAAAAAATATATATACATTTTGAAGTTAAAAAATGTATATTGGTAACAGTGTTGAGCAACAGCATAAATTAGTAACACTGTGGAGAACGACTATCAATCTATTAGGAAAGAAAGTCACATCATACCAACCTGGCAATCAGTTCCGCCTGAGGCAAAGTGATCTCCAAGCCTGGAAAAGGCCACAGTGATTACGGCTCCCTGAGAATGAAGATAATTCAAATAAACATCATAAACCATAATTCAAATAAATGTCACAAAGAAATGAAAATAATAATGTTCAAAATGTCCTCATTAAATTAGAACAGCCAAGTGATGCACATATTTTGACAGAGACATGGATAGGGACTTTTCCAAATTTTGTGGTATCAGATTAATACTGTCACCATGGTTACAACACATTTGTCATGTAAATAAAACAAGACTTTTAAAGAGTTCTCATCCCATTATGCTCCACAATCCTATGAGAGATTACCAAGAGATTTGTAAAGCGGGTGGTGTTAGCACATCTTCACCTTATTAAAATAATGTTTTAGGCAACAAAAAAACGTGATGAAATGGAACTTGGAAGAAACAAACAGGAAGAGAAGTGAAAGAGGAAGAAGAGAGAGAAAGAGTGAAAGAGAAAAGGTAAAAGAACAAAAAAGGACAAAAGAGCAAAAGAAAAAAGAGTGAAAGCAAAAAGGCAAACAAAAGAGTAAATGAAAGAGCAGAAGGAAAAAAATTAAACAAAACAAAAAAAAAGCAAAAGAAAAGGACAAAGGAAGATTTTTTCCCCCTCTGCTGCAATGCCACCTTGTGTCCATGCAAGGTATAGATGAGCCGGCCCTCCAGCAGGTCCAGGATCTTCACTGTCCGGTCACTGGAGCCACTGATTAGGTAGTTATTGGACGGGTGGAAGGACAAACTATTGCTTCCTCCATTGTGGACTGAAAACGCAGCAAAACAAACTAAAAAATAGGAATAAAGCTCAAAGCAAAACACTGTATTATAACGACAAGGCCATTGGCCCACGGCTATTGAAACACGATGGGAGAATGAGCTTCTGGAACAGCAGCCTAGCTCAGTTCTGAGGAAAATTCAAGGATTACATTCAAAGCTGAGTCGGTACAAGAACAAACATGAACAAACAAACAAAATGCATGACATTTGTAAGAGTGCTCAAATATCTAGCCAGAGGTTGGACAGAAGCTTGTTCATGACTACAAAAAGAGTTTGGTTTCTCCGCAATTTGCCAAAAACATTTAGCCAAACATTTGTGCCAGTGTGTGAGTCTGAATGTAAAATTTGCTTCCAAAGCCCAAAATTAGTGTGATGTTCATGCGGGTGGTGTATGAAAATCTCACTAAATGTGCAGAAACATGTTTGAAAATTAGTTTGAGAGGAGACACGGAGCCTCTTCAGCCTCGGCTGAGTGGTCCTTCCATACCTTGATAGTGCTGAATCAGCTTATTGGTTCGCAAATCCCAGATTTTAAGACAACTGTCATCTCCTGACGAGGCGATGCAGGTGCCGCTGGCGTTGAAGTCGACAAATGTGACCGAGCTGGAACAGATGCAACGATTATTCCACCGAAACCAATTACTCTGCCAACTCCACCCACTGACAAGTAACCGCGTTTTGGCTGGAAACAGGCCGACAGAATTACCCTCCGCAGTTGGTGAAAGTGTTGATGCAGCATTTGGTGGACGTGTCCCAGAGACGGACGGAGCAGTCGTCCCCGCAGGACGCTATGAGCCTCCCGTCTGGAGAAAATCTGAACAGAAGCAAACAAAAAGTTTATGCTCCACTATTCAGGAACAAACTTCCAGAAAACTGACAAATTGCAGTATTCCTTAAATCAAGGCCAATCACCCCCACCCTCCACCTGTTTAGAGTTACCTTTGAGTCATAATAACTGGATTTTTAATCAATATATT